TTTTTTTCTTTTTTTTTCTTTTTTTTTTTCTAATATTGTTAAAGAGAACATCAGATGCCTCTTACTTCCAACACTGAAAGTAAGTTTTATATAGTTTCAGGTAAACTGGAATCCTTTCAGAGAGGTGAAGTAGAGGATACTATGGTACTTGACTCTTGCTTAGCTTTTCTAATTATTTTTGTAATTGTTTTTTTAATAGATGTGCTGCAGCAGAATATTGCTTTGGAAAGAGAAACTTTTCATGTAAGTTCTTGATTTTTAAATTTACTCTCTAAGTCTGTGCTGCCTTTTTTTTTTCCTTACTTGTATTTCCTTCTATTTACATTAAATATTCTCTAAAGGAAAATACTATTTTTGTATATGCAGAGTCTATGTATATTGAGACTGTGCAGCTGTGTAGGTTGATGTCTAATTATTCTTTCAAATTTGCCAGTAAATAAATCTTCTTGTGTTGTTGTTCCACAGTCAATGACTATTTCAAGACTGTTGTTAACTGGCAGAAAAGAGAAGCTTGATTGTCCTCCTTGAGAATAGAGGACAAAAATTGGGATTATTCTTGGAGCTTTTGATCAGGACTAGAAATGTGTTATTTAATGCATCTATTGTGATTTCACAAGAACTTGGAACTTAAAGGGATGACTGAGAAAGTTGCAACTGTAAAGTGTTTCTTGTGAAGCAGAAACAAGACACTTAACACAGATGACAAGCTAAAAATGTGTTTGTGGTTTCTTAAACTTGAGTAGTAAACTTATTTATTACTGTATTGTGATGCTGGTTGACAATATTTGTGGTGTTAGTGAGATACTTCTGTTCCTGCATGTAAGAGGGTGTCCTTTTAAATCCAAAACTATTTTGTGTGAACTGCCATGATAAACTGCTTTTAAAGCACATAGTGGGGTGCTTAATTAAAACTGAGACTTTTTTCATTAAAAATATAAATTAGAAATTCTGAAAAATACTACGAGTCAGAAGTTTTTTCATGGTGCTATCCTATAGTAGTAACATTACTTGAGCTCTAGGAACAAATTGCTTTTGTAATACTGTTACTTTCCATTTTAATGCATGCTGTACTTGAAAGTAGCAAGTAGGAAAACTTTCTTCCTTCTGTGTTTATGAACTTTATGGAAAAAAGAAGTTAAGGAGTTATCTTTCGTTGCGTTTTATGTGTAGGTGGAAAACTTGGAGACCCAGTCAACTGAAGAACATAGATCTAGAGGAATACAATGTAAATCTTCAGGAAAAATGGATAAAGAAAAATGTAAGTGATACAGAACTACATGAATTTGTGCAAAGCTTTTCTGCTGCAAAACAAAGTTCTACTAAATTAGGCCAGAAAACTGTATTTTGGAGGAGAGAATGCAATATGGAGAATTCCAAACTCCAAAGTAATTGTTTTTCCCAAAACACCTTTTAATATTATACTTAATATATTTGATAAAAATACAGTAACAAATTTAATACTGCACGGAAGAGTATTATGGTAACTGTTTCAATCATAAGTGAACAAAATTTTTTGTTTAGTCTTTAAAATAATTACTAAATTTATCCTTTTTAAAATAAAACACAGGGAAGGAATATAAAGCTGAGGAAAACTGATCATCAGAGGAACATCTAGCCATTCAATGAACTTTGTGAGGCTCGATGCTTCCCTCTCTTAGATTGGAAAGAATTAAGTTTTTAGTGTAGCCTTTTATCTCTCTAGAAGCAAAAAGTGAGAAGGAAGTCAGTCCATTGAATGGCATAAACATTTCTAGGTTAAAGTTAGATAAACTTAACTTACTTCTAAGTTAGACATTTGGTTGAGATTGTAATTGTGAGACCAACTATGTAATATCTATTCAAGCTTTGCCCTCAACTGCTTTTTGTCTTTTCAGCATCAGTGCAATTAAAAAGAAAAAACAACTATTAGGATAACCATTAATGTCATTTTTATAACAGTTTTTATTCTACTTCTAAGAATTTTGATTTGATGGAGTAATTAGAAATCATGCTGTATTCATTATACTGTCCCACACAGCATTAACTGCTTTCTCTGTATCTGGGTGTGTTCCAGTTAAGGTTGATGTTATATTTCTTGATCATGTAGTACCTGTAAATTTCAATTTTGAGCTTATCTTTAAAAACAAATAAACAAAAAACCAAACCCCACCTGTAACAATGTAAAAACCATGGAATTCTTTTTTGTAATTGTTTTGTCTTCCCTTTTCAGAGAGGGGTTAGCATTACTTTCTGTTCATATTTTTGTAAATAAGACGCTGCTTTTCAGAATCTTTTGAATTGCACTGATGATGAGCTGATATAAAAGTCACATCAAAATCTGACAAATGCAGAAGGCACTTTTTTAACAGTTTGTTTTTGCAGGTAACCAGCTGATTGCTCAGGATGTGAGAATAGATGATGAACAAAGTCATTGTTCCAAAACGAAACCTGATAACATCAAGGTATTTTCAAGAATACTTTTTTTTAATGTTCTGTAATTGTAATGTAAATAAGATGGAAATCTTTATTTCTGTGGTAGTTTATTTTGGGAGGTGTTTTCATTATTAATTGTATTCTACTTTTGCATTGTCTTGAATACAAAATAACTGACTGTAGAATGTTACTTTTCAAGGGGGAGATCATTTAAAAAAAAAAAAAAAGGCAAGGGTCCGTGTTGTATAGTTAGGAGCTTGGGATCGCATGGAGCATTGCTGGATCCCAGCTGTCCAGTCAGTTCAGCTTCTTCATGGTCATACTGATCTGAGATCTGCAAGAGGGTATTGTACTTTACCCAAGTTCTGGGTTTGCACTGATCCCTTCTAAGTCAAAACAGGAATTCAGGACAAAATAGATGATCCTTTTAAGAGTACATGCAGAGTATTTGGGACTATCTCACCCACTGATTTTGGTGAAGCTTCTCAGACTCAAAGATTTTAAGAGATAATACAAAATCTTGATGAGTAAAATAACTACTCCTGTATTGGGGTGTGGTGGGTTTTTTTAGTATAAGTAACTGACAATGATCTTAATGGTTTAATTTGTGATCTTTAATTTTGTTGTTTCAACATAATGTAGGAAGTTATTGCAGGCGATACAGCAGAAATGTCCGAAGAAATTGATGTAAAGCATACATCTCCTAAAAGTACAGTGGAACAAAAAGGTAATCAAACTGCCCATTCTGGGCAATTTTCTGAACCCATACTAAATGTTAGTTTCTTTTCATTTTTCTGAGAGAAATTAGGAACTTGATCCCAGTTTGATCCCAGCAAATAGTTGCATGTATTCTGTAGTTGCTGTCTGTTCTGTTACTGCTATCAAATAATGCATTAATCCTAGTTCCTTTAACAGTCAGAGTAGATTTGATGTTTCTGCCGTGCTATCACCCATTCACTCCGTTATTGCTTCAGTATGTACCTTGGGTAGGAAAACTAATTGCAAATAAACAAGTAGATGGGGAAATGGCATGATCACGGTATGTGACAAGAACTCCTCCTAACTCTGACCACAAATAAGAAGTGTCCTTCTATGAAAAAAACCCATGACATATTCACCATCAAAATCAGCCCAGTTTGTTTCTGTAGAGATAGTGTGCAAGTTGCACTGTCACAGTTGACTTATTAATTGCACTAAAATAAATAATAAAAGAAGGTATGTTCACAGTGTTGATAGTGGCTTTAATATGACTTCAATCTGTCTATGTGTGAACAGTGTATCTTCCCTAATGTTACTTTGACCTATTAATAGTTGTCTCTCCAGTGAGCATGTTGACAAGTCTGAAACTGTTCTGCAATGAGCTTGTATCCTCAGCTTCCTGTTTCATGGAATGTGGGAGAAAATCGAATAGTGGCTTATATTTATCTTACCATTTTACAGCGGGTCATACTCTCGAGCTTTTGTTTTTACCTTAAATTAGAACACCTGTCTAACCCATCTAGTGTTATGGAAGCATTCTGGCAGACCAGTATGTTGTTGCTACAAGGCAAATAGTGTTAAATTTCTGATGGGTGTTTTTAGGGAATTTTGGGCCACAGAGTGAAATAATGCTTTTAGTGCAGAAGTTGTCGCTTGTACCGTTTTCTTTGTCTTATAAAACAAAGGTGTACAATTTCTCTCTTTTTGGTTTTTTTTTTTTGTATGTGTGAAGATGAATTTACCATTGAACGGGATATGTCTGAAAAGGAAAAGCATGGTCCAGAATCAAATGAAAATTCTCCAGAGGTGAGTGGTCTTATTCATATAAACTAACTGAGATAATGTGGTTTCACACTGAAAATAAGTACTTCATCTTTGTCTTTTGTTGACAGCAATATTAAAACTTTTATTTCACTGACTCAGAAATAGCTGTGAAATTGTGTTTGATATTGTAAAGTACCAAAGACTCAGGTAGTTCTGTGTCACAAAGCAAAACTCACAGATCATAGGATGTTAATGGCGGGTAATTAAAGTAGAAGTAACTCCCTTCCTACACTTAATAGAATATGTTTAATAGAACTATATAGATAGCAACTCTGTAGAGTTGTATAGAAATCATATTTTCTGAAAACCTTGTAATTGAGATGTGGAGAGTTTAGTCACTAGCAAGTATGACTTGGTTTTACAAAAATATTGTCACTCAACAATTTTAAAACTCTTTATGTTATCTCTTAGACATATGTGGTGGTTGTAAACAAATGTCAGAACCCTAGAGATTAAAATTGTTGCTAGCCCTTAGAAATAAACACAGTTCTCATGAAGATGTCAGGTTTTGTCATTCACTTTTTTTGTTTCTAATTTGGAATTGGAAGAAAATTTAAAGAATAAATTGTTGCATTTGTTCACTCAAGGCTTGAGTCACTACGATCCATTGTGGGGGGAGACATTGCTAGACTTCGGTAAATGCTGAATGAGGCACTTACCCTTCTTTCCTTGTAAATAGGAGGAAGTCTATTATTGGGAATTTTGTGATCTGAACATCTGACCATATTCATTACTTGACAGTTGTCTTTCAAAGCTTAAACTTCGGAATAAGAGGCCTTTCTTACTAAAAGCCCTATTTATATAGAGAACATCACCAATCTGGATATTGGGATATTGTTTCTTTTCAGTTCTATAAATAGATATCATAACAGGCAGTGTCTCTTCCTATGAAGCCTGCCTCATCTGTATTTTTAAACTGATGAGCGTAACGTCTGTCACTATCACATTATGAAGCTAGCAGCAGTCTTTGTATTATGTTGCTCAAATGCTAAATGTCAATTACAGGAACTAAAATATTTTTGTCCTTTACTTTTAATAGGGAAATCAGCCTGTAATAGTGAAAAGGAAAAGGGGAAGGCCTCGTAAATACCCTCTTGAAACTGTACAGCCTGGTGGTAAGTAGTTCATAATGTATATGTGGAAAAACAAGGAAAGTAGTGACATTCAAGTTCTGAATTCATATTTCTTCCCTCAGGTGGGGAGTCAAAAGCTGATATGAGCACTGGGAATGTAAGTGCCTTTATTTTGTTTGGGTGCATTTAAACACAGTAATTCAAGAGCCATTTATCCGTTTAACAGTTAATGGTATTTCAGAAACATCTTACGGAAAACTTGATAATTGAGTTCAGTCTATTAATAGTATCTCCTAATATACCTGAACGTTGTAAGCAAAATATAATACTAAGTCAGAACACAGCAAATAACCTAACAGGATCAAGTTAGTACAACATACTTAATACAAATCTAAGTGTTGCACTGGCTAGCAATTTACTTGTACACAGGATGAAATTCTGATTGTGTGCACATGTCTTAATTTATACTGAGAGTAATTTTGGCCTGAAGATCAAGGGTGACTTTATTTTGAAAATGTGAGATTTTTTTTTTCTCTATTGAACCTATCATAATAATAGCTCACAGTAACTCTTAATATCTGTAAAATAAAGTATTGTGTAATGCAGTTGTATTATCTATAGTACAGTGTGTGCAATTCATTTAAAAGATAGAGACATTCTGGTTAGTAACTTAAGAGCTCGTGAGACATATCTCTGTATTTTAAAGGTCAGCAATACCTTAATTTCTTTAACCCCCGTGAAGTACATTCACTGCTAAGAAAAGGATTCTGTTGGGAGTTGTCTCTGCCACCCAGTTGGATTACAGCACAGGGTAGTAATGGATCAGGCATATTTGTGGGGTACAACTAGTTGGATTTATTCTGGTGGAAGGCTCTTCTCTTGGGAATTCCTATATGTCATAATCAACATTATTGTTTAGAAAAGAGCTGATTTTAAAAATGAAGTTGTATTGAAACTCATGTTTTCTGCCTGCTTGCCTGGTGATGTGCCAGCTGGCATGGGTATCACATAGAGAGCAGGAGTTCCCATCCCTGCTTGTTCGGTCCGTGCAGTATTTCAGGCAGCCCTTTGAGTCCTGTCCCTTCTACAGGTCTAATTGAGTTTTGTTTCAGCGTTCCTAATCTTTTTTCTAATGTTTTGGGTTTTTTATTCCCCCTATATTAACCTAATGAAATGTAATTTGGACTGGTGTGGGTTTTGGTGTTTGTTTTTTTTCTTTTTTTTTTTTTTGGGGGGGGGTGAGGTTATTTTGTTGTTGTTTCAAATAAGAATTAAATCTAACTTTAAAACCTCCCTCAAAATAGATATACCTTGGCACCCTCAGTACTGGAACAGAATCATCTTGTTCTAGTTCGACTGTTTTAAAGGTCTCGTACCTCTTAGTGATGACTGATTGGTGTGTCAGTCAGGAGGAGCGATATCTGCCCTCCATCTGAGATCAAGGTTCTATAAGGTGAGATGTTACCTTTGCATGACAGTGTCCCCTAGACTGCTTTGAGAACATGTTGTCCCTTCAAAGGAAGGGTAGACATCCTAGTGTAGTCATTCAGTAACAAAAGCAACTGGATTTTTTGGACAGTCGTCATAGGAGATTATGTAATTATACATAGCTCTTTCTGCATTCTGGGTAAATATAAAATTCTGGTGGTTTATAATTCTGCAAATCTGTACGTATGATTACATAAAGTGACTGCACTAAACTTTTTTGTACTGTTGATAATTAAGTTTTCAGAAATGTATTTGACTGAAACCGCTTTTGACTTTGTCTTTTATTGCAATGATTTTAGTGTTAGTTAAGTTACTAAAACTGGTATGAGTTCTTTTGTTTATGGGCTGATTTAACTCATTTCAAATTTTTATCACAAATGGAAAAATGCACGCTACTGCTAAGAAACTCAGGACAAACCTCCTGTATGCTCATTATGCTATTCATTTTTTCTAGATTGCAGATGTGTTCTATGAATGGGAGTGAGTTTCTGTGTTTATGTAATACAATCCTGGATTTTTCTGATTTTTTTTTAAGTTAAACTACCACCTTTTTTTTTTTTTTATTTCAGCTGCAGTTTCCTATCTTTGTAAGTAGAGGAAAAACGCCTCAAATAGGTAAGCAATTGATATCTGCTTTAACAAATAAAACAAAAGATGGAAGAAATAGAGGAGAATTTTCCAGAAAATCACATGGGTCCTTCCTAAACGTTATGTCTGGCAGTCAGTATTATTAAAGTGTGAAAACATCTGAGTAAACAGAACAGTGAAGACTTGTCCCTAATTCCTACTGAGTTTTTAATTTAAAAAAGAGCAGCTTGATAAAAACTTATTTCAAAGATGCAGCAGCACTGTTAAGTGCTGAATAATGCATTGCAGACCATACAGAATAATTTATTTGTGTGGATAGGCACATGGCAGAGCTTCAGAGGCAGGTAGGTACTCCATCAAACTTAGTGACTGTTCTGCATTTCTGCTTATGTTCTTTCATACGGTGACTGTCAATCACACTTATTACATTAACTTTTAAAATTTCAAATTTTGTTCAGTTAATTGGATTATCTGTGGATTTGTGTCTAAAGAGCTGAGTGATAGCTTGAGGGGATAATTCTCCTTTCACAACTGGTGTAAGATCTTTAGAAGATGATCGTTTAACTTTACTCAGAAATGTACTTTTAGAGCTTCAAACTGAAGTCAAATAAAGTGAGATACTTCTCTATTTCTCTTTCCTATTCAAACGTCTGTCATTTGTAAGAGGTCAAACTTGGTGAATTTTAGATGGCATAGTTAATTTTTTGCATGTACGGAGTCTGAACTGCACTAGTGGTTTAAATGTGTCTTCTTAATTATGGCCATTCATAAAATAGACTTTAAAATCTATTGAGGAAGCAGACGAACCTGAAAGGCAGGTTAAAAAAGTGGTTTGTAACATTCATGCAACAAATCTGAGAAAACAAGTATGCAAAACAAATCTTGTGGAGGTTCCAAAAGTTTAGGTTTCTACAGAGGTATTAATCTGGTGGCTCTGCACATAGGCACTGTTTCCTATTTTCTCCACATCTGTTAAAATCCATATGCTTCAGAATTGTCTCTGAAGGGTTAGCTGGTTGTGTGGTACTTGTTCTCTATCAACTGTAAAGAGAATAGACAAGAATGTGTGAAAGGCGTAAAAGTGCATTCTGGTTTGCTTTTTATTCAAAAGGACAGACACCTGACTGTATTTAAAGCTTCATTTAATGTGTTAAGTAACATTTCATTTTCCAGGTAAGAAAAGGCTGTTGCTGTCACAGCAATATTAAGAAGAGTGTATAAAGTGGCTGAAATATCCTGTTAAACTTTTCATCATACATTAGCATTCATGTGAGAAAAGGGGTTGAAAACCCCTAGCAGTGGAAAAAAATCCAAAGTGGAATCCCTCTGTGCAGTTCACTTACTCTGGTAATTTCTGGGTGTTCCGCGTGAGGGTTTGCGATAGGGACAGGCTCGTATATGGAGTGGGAAGCCAAGAGTTTCTCTTCAGTCAGTACAACTCATGCAGTTAAGAGACATCTGTTTTTTGAAGGCAGCATCCTCACATAACACTGACACTGAACTTCAAACTAAAATTATTTTGGACTGATCAGCGGTTGCTGCTGTAAAGTTAGTAAGATTTTTACATACTATAGATGCTTATTTTTATACTTGAGGAAAAAGTACATTTTCACATCCTAGAGAGAGTTGTGCCGCTTAAGAAAGGTGCACCTCATACTGGCATGGAGTATTCTTCAGTCAAAAACCATTTTGCTTACAGATTTGTCAAAAATACCAGAATTTTGAAGTATCTGTCTTTTGAACACAACAGAACTAGTAAATGTTGGTTATATGTTAGACATACTTCGTGTAAAACACTTAATACAGTGGACAGGCCTATGTTTTATTGCATTTTCTTATTGAATAAACTTTTCCGTGTTTTATTTCATTTGCTTTTGTGTAAAACTTTTTTTCCCTGTAACCTTAACAAAAGAACTCCAGAAGACTTGTATGTGAATTTTAGAGTATGTTTCTGCTCTTTGAGATCTGTTTTTGATCCATTGCATTGACATTCTTCTGTCTGTTCTGTCAGTCTAATTGGTAATGGATTTAGACTTTGTGTCATCTTTTGCGTAGCTTTCAGAAAACAAAAATAGTTATGGCAGGGAAAAATTATATAAAAACTTGCTTTTGTTTAGATTGCTTCTCTCCTTTTATTGCTAAGGATTTTTTTCTTTGCAGTGTTGCAGATAATTCCATTTGACAAAGCTCAAAAGCTTGTCAAATAATCTCTTATCATGAAGTTAGTCAGGGTAGAAGTGCTAAGCATCTACCATGGAGAGAGGCTAGGTTGAGATGTGGATTGCAGGGCTATAAATGTATTTCAGTATGCACAGGCTAGTCTACAAGAAGTACTGAACTGGCAGTAAGAAGTACTTCAACAGAGGAGGTCAGGTAGTTTGCATACCAGCTATTAGACAGGTTTTAAATGTTGTCTTTTTGAGCTACAGCCATCTTTGTGCTTCACCATGGGCATAGTTAAGCACTAGGAGAGTTTGCCTGGAGGGACTCTTGGAGACTCAAAATTGGATTGAACAAGATCTAGAGCAGTGTGAACAGATCAATTCTTTTACCCATGCTTTGAACAGCATTAGATGACCTCTAGAGGCCCCTTCCAAGCTAAATTTTTCTGTGATTCTGTAATTCATTGACAGTAGTTAAAAGGGGTAAGTAACTTTTGCTTTTCCATTACAACACAGCGTCTGCAACAAAGCAATAAGTAATGTCATCATGTGAAAACTTGCTACTTAAAAAAAAAAAAAAACCACAACAAAAAACTAATCATTTTCCCAGTATCTGTATATAACAAAATACAACAATGCCATAATCTAAATTAGATAGGGACTTTAAATGTTTTCTGAGCTTCTGTACTGTTTATGCAAAGTTGACAGAGTTTGAAAGAACTCCTTTTTTAAACTGATTGGTGAAAGATTTGAAGTTCAGGATTAAGTTTTATTCTTTCCTTTCTTTTTAGGTACAGACATATCTAATAAGAAAGAAACAACAAATGTAAGTGCAACCATTTTAATTTGTAAGTTTATAAGCAGTATGTAATGAAAAACGTCTGTCTTCAATTTAAATTAAGTTGTTCTTGACTTACTTGCTTCCATTTTATTTTTTCAGGAAGATGAAGCTGAGAAAGCAGAAATGATTGTGCGGAAAAGGGGAAGAAAGCCCAGGCGTTCTCTGCTTCAATCGGAGGAAACTGGTAAAAACATGAAACTGTGCTGCTCCTAACAGAATGAGAAGATAGTTCTGTGCCTTCCTGTTTGCTAACAGCAACAAGATAAGCTTTATTCAATTTTCCTTTCATGAGAAAAAATCATTGAGTTACAGTAGTGTAAATATTATGTAAATATGTGTAAATTGCTGTAATCTCGTGTCAAAATTGCTACATTCCAGATGTTTCTATAAAGCCTCATGAATTTTCTATGAATTCTGGCTAGGAGCTGCATAAGTAAACTATGGTGAATGTGTTAGCAAGATTAAGTCAAACAAGTGTGAATTAAAAATGTTGAAGCATAAAGGAAATGGAAAATTACTTTCTTAAAATGGGATTTGTGAATAGAATACCTTTTCTAAACTAAGTGTCCATATCCCTTTTGGAGGGCTTTTGGAAAATTATAGCACATGTGTAAAATTTTACATGGACAGAAACACTGGAGCCAGAAAGAAAACGACGGAAATTAACATCATCTGAAGATGAACTAAAAGAGCAGGAAGAAGGTGAGGAAGATGATGATGAGGAAGATGATGAAGCACATTCTGGGGCCACAACTAGATCAGCCACAAGATTAGAGGCTCAAAGGTAACTGTGTGTAGAGATACCAATAGCAGGCTTTTTTCTACATTCTTCTCAGTTGTTGTGGGGTTTGTTTGGGGTTTTTTGTTGCTTGCTTTTTGTTCTTTGTTTTTAAATTGATGAGAATTATTCCCAAATAATTGTGGTTCTATGCTCTTCTATGGATTGAGGAAAAAAAAGGGGAGGTGGGGAAGCTGTTAAAAATGTCAAAAGACATTCTTAAATATGTCAGAAGGTAAGAATTGATCCTGTTGGCAGTCTTCATGCTAGTGATGTCTCAGAAGTTGAGTCTAAGGGCACTTAGTTCTGATAAATAGAAAGGGACCTCTGACTTGACTGTGCTTTTCACCATTTGATATTGGGAGTTTTAACAATGTGAAAATGTAATTATCTATGTCCATTTCTTTTTCCAAATATTATCCAAGTTAGATACATAAATTTGCAGTACCGAAGGATTTTAATTTCTAGTATGGTGATCTCAGACAGCAGTCTTAATGCAGAAAACTAGTGTGGTTCTGTTTTCAAGAAGCCATTCTTCACCTCCCTTAGCATAGGTCTGCCTTTTTGTAGGTAAACTGAATTATAGCAGAGTTCCTCCTCTTGACTTTTTTGTGGAAACAGATAGATACCAGCTTTGGGAAGTTTTAATTCATGTTGTTGCTGTCCAGAACAGAATTGGAGTCCAGGCTTTGGTTTTGTGTTCATAGTGAGATTTCTGTAAATTCACCGGATTTACTTCATTTCTAAGGATATCATATGTTATATGTTAGCCTTTGGGGCTTATTTGAAGTACACTCTTGCATTCACAATTTCAGAGCTGAATCAGAAAGTGGTTAAGTAGTCTTCATTTAAATACAAACTGTGAAGGTTTACCACTACCACTTAGGAAACAACAGTTCTGTTTTGGTAAAGGCAACGGGACTTCCTTTGGTCTCACATAATTGTTACCTCTAAAATTGTGATAAAAGGTTATATGTTTGTGTTTTCGTTCTGATTGCTTGTGGAAACATCTACCTTTTTATTTATATAGTTGTTTGGTTGGTTTTGTGTCTCAGACTTCCAGTACTTTCTTCATCTTCAGTATTGCTGGATTATCAGTTTTTCTGACTTAAGTAACCTGTATTCAAAACAGTGAAGTTATGATGGCCAGTAACCAGTTTTTCATGTTTTCACTAATACGAGTCCTTTGTTTACAATGGATAAGCAAATTCTCTTTTCTTCTACAGCCTGTTCACCTTTGCTTCTTTTGTTTTTCTGATGGTACTACAAGCTATTTTTTTAAACATGGACACTTATGTACCAGAATTACTGCAGATTTGGAACTAGGATTTTTATTTAGTTAATACTAAATATCGTCAATAAAGTAGCCTTTTGAGTCTACATTTGATATGAAAATGCATAGCTTGGCATTGCAGTTTGTGTCTCAAAGCATGCAAAGGTCTTTTTTCACTGTTTCTTTTGGCAACTTTGATTTAATTATTGCAAATACTGTGCAGTCTTAATTTTCTGCACTTGGATTGCAAGAAGAAAGTGACTTGGTAAAAGTATTTTGTTATATATACATTCATCATTCTTCTGTATTACAGAAAGCAGCCCAGCAAGCCAACCACACGTGCAACTTCAAAAGGCAGCAGTCCAAGTTCAGTTTCTCCTAGAAAACGACAGAACCTAGCAATGAAAAAAAGATCTCCAAGTGATACAAAAATTAATAAATCTCCTCCATTGACACAGTAAGTATTAAAGTTGAATCCACTTCTGTTATTTGTTTTGGAAGCCACTACATTATTTCTTTCCTTATATGTAATATACTGCTTCAGAATCTGAACAGCAGTCTAGCTTCACTCCGTTCTGTTCTCTTGTGATACATAAAAGCTTTTAAAGGATTTTCTTCTGTTTACGTCTTTTCTTTTTCTTCCTTTCTTTAACATTTGGAAGACTGGAATTTTTTTCCTTCTGTCCTCAGAAACCTCTTGGGAGAATCTAAAATGCTGTTACGCAGTATTTTAACTTGAGCTGTGATCTTTCCTGAATGGGAGGAAAGGCAGCTGTAGTTCAGGTTAAAGCAACATATGATGACATGGTTCTGATGCTTCAACAATCTTTCTAAGATCAGCTGATAAAAGAGGAGAAACTCTGAAAGTCCTTATATCAGGTTTTGAAAATATTTCCCTTTCCCTCCTTCCCTGGTACACTTTTTAATTTTTAAAGTTGAGATCACAGTGTAAAATCTTAGGGGAGTAATAAATGTGATGCACAGTTGCTATTCATCTTGTAGTTTATCTGTGCACTCTGAAATGTGGCAGTGTCTTCAAACTGAAGCTCGGGAACATGTGTATCACACACTGATCGGCTGTCACAGTTCACTTCATGTTAATTATTTTGCATGTTTATGAATGGCCAAGAGTTTAAGGTTGCAGCTGCAGTGTGGTGGGCTTATATATGGATGCTTAAATAGAGATAAGGGTACGTGATGTCTGCCCTTTACTCTCTCGTGCATGCAAGACTTAAGCCGCTATTGCTGTTCTTCTGTCTTTGTGAGACAGAGCGCAAGGTAATGTAGTTCATTATATTCTGTTACAATCCACAAGTCTTTCCAAGAGAAAGAGGAGGAAGGAGGAGAGCTCTAGCCCCAAATTCTACATCTGGAGCACTCTTCCAACATACAGAATTAGTATGCAGTATCCTGCTAAGATGTGACGGGAGTGTGCAAGGTCTCCCTATGGGCTGTGCTGGTATATAATGTTTATATCCTGTTAATTCATGAGAGATGGACAATTCAGTTCCATCCACTAAGCAGAATTGTGCCTGACCACCTCTTTTGCTTTACAGGTCATTACAGCACATTGTTAAAATAATTATTAATAATGCTTTTCAGGTTAAAGATGCAGTCTACCAAGCGTAAAAGGGAAGACAGCCCAACAGCAGTGGTACGGAGAAAAGCCCAGCAGAAAACAGAAGAGACACCAGTAAAGAAAGCAAAACGATAATCTTTACCAGCTAGCATTGTTCATGGAAGAGGCAAAAGAAAAACGAAAAAAAAAAACCCAACCATCTGTGCTTCTGTTTCTTTTAAAGCAAAGGGATTTGCACGTGCTTGTTTCAGAGCTCTAAGTTAATCAATGCAGTACTTTTAAGTTAAACTTAAAACAGCTTTATAAACTATTGTTTATACAGAATATTATGTACATTTATTTCAGATGAAAAATAAGTTTACTTTGTATCTGAATGAAAAACAAAGTAGTTATATATTTTATCACTGACTTGGAAAGTTGGGGTTTCCCAATGTGACATGCTAATGCAGATGCTTCCAACCCATGAGGCACCTCTGGGCCTCCTAATACACTTTGTATATAAACTTGTAAAAATAGGTTGTATTTTACTCTGTGTATGAATCTAATCAATGATGGACATTTTATTTATTATATGGAAAGCATTGGTCTGTAAACTTTAGTATATACCTTAGGTTTTTTTAATTATATATTTTACATTCTATGCAGATGTCAGTAGGAAACTTCCCCTCTGCTCCCCCAGGGCTGTCTAAAACCTGAAGTTCTCTAAAATATGCTCAGACAGTTGGTAAAGTATTTTTCTCGCATGCATTAAAGTAGTTTAGCATAGTGAAAGGGACTTGGCTCCTTTCTGTTCACATTTGTGACAAAGTATAAAATTTAAAATGTAAATCTTACTAGATTATATTTTCACTTGTGAATTTACTACCAACCTCAAGAAATAAATAGTATTAGGTTAGGTTTATTCACAGTCAGCCAACAGTACCCTGAAATGACAAGTTTTATTTTGCAACTAAACACCTGTTCTTTCAGTATTTTGTTTTTTTCAACAAGAGGGACCCATTGAAGTCAAATGTCACTTCTCCTAACTATAGAGCTTCAGCATTTTATGTTACATTTTATACACAGGTATTAAAAATAGCACCTGGTATTATTGCCAGAATCTTTTTTTAATGTATATTAACTCTGGTAAGAGCAAATGTTCAAGTGAAGTTGTATATAAAGTTAAACTTTTCTTATGATCAAATGTGTCTCTTGTTATGATGTGATGAGTTGCCAAACAATCTGAGATTATTTTAAGTGTTTTGTTGATATTCTGGTTTATAATTAAAAAGGATTGGGGGGGGGGGGGATTTTACTTTTCTTTTTTCTTTTTTTTTCTCTTTTGTGAGGTTTTTTTGAACTTGTTGTAAGGCGGACGTTTCCGTCAGATATTCTGCTTGGTTTCTTACTGAGATTTTTATATAAAAATTACAAAATGTTTGCCAAAAATCTGAGTTGCCTTTTTTTTTTAAATTACCCTTCAATCATATTGCTGTGGAACTTGTTGTTACAGATGTATTTGGTTGGAGCCCTATCTATAAGCTTTACCTGATTTGTGCCTTTAAATGCTTACAGGTGCTTATATTTTAGGTATATAAACAGTAAGGAAAGGACGTGGCCATTTACCAGGCTTAGTATGCTGTAAAAGCAGGTGCACACATAATTATTTTACGAAGTAAACTTGAGTCTAAAAAAACCCTCTTTGCTCTGAAAATTAGCTGCTTTTGATTTCTGTCTTAACTCTGCTGCCATATGCCAATACATACCTTGCTGCCACACTGCTGATAGATACATATGTATTACTAACACTTATGTTTATGCACTCCATACGCAGTTGTAGGATAAGTTGAATCTTTTCCATTTTTTCCCCCTTTTTTCCTTTTGCCTCCTGCAGTATGCATAGACCAAAATTGTAGATTTCTTCTCAGCCTTTGTTCTGTAAAGCTAAAACAAGCAGAACTGTTTGGTTTCTATTTGGTGCTTTCTAGACTGTTGATCATATGTGGAGCCCTTCCCTGCATCTGTTCTGGTTTTGTTTCCGTACACCTGAACGCAGTGGTGAGATTGCTCAGGACGTTCCAAAGGCAGTTCCCCACCGCGCTGTATGTTACTAGCATTTCTTCTTCTCTCTCTCTGTTGGTAGTACGGGTCCTATTTGCCTATTTCACAGGCACGTCTCTCCTGATGGATTGTAACGATGGACAAAGCTCCTGTTTGTGTCAGATCCTCTTGACTGACTGTTGTCTAATGATCTCAGTAGAGAAATACGGCCCTGAAGATCAATGGCAATCTCTGAGCTTAACCTCCTGGGAGGTCTTCTACTGTCCTTCCCCTTAGCCATAGGTAACATTTAGGTAAATCCTCTTGTCTATGGGATGTATCTTTGATCATTCATTAAATTATTCCATAATACAAAGGCATTAAAGAAATTATCTTTCAGCAAGAGAGACACTTTTACTTAAAGGACGTGCCAGTCCCACAAACTTAGCTTATGCACACTTCACTCACTGGCAGATGTCTGAATGCGTGATGTATGAGAACACCGGCTGCTTCTTCCTTCTCAACAAAACAGACATTTCTGCCAGGTGCCATCACTGTCAATCCAGGTTTGGAATTTTTTTTTCCTTTGTTTAGTGGTTTCAAGTCCCTGTCATCTAAATTACTGTTATGCTTTACAGGTACAGTAGTGGTCTGCTGTATTTAAGTGTAACTTGGGCATTGAATGTTTATAGTTTCCAAGTCTTCCACACAGTCTCTTCCTGAGCATGAGGAAGGGAGGGGGCAGAGGAGTCAGTTTTCCCTTGGGCATGGCAGGAGATGCATCCATCTTGTTCAGAACTTAGGCTTGTAGTCCAGCTGGAACCTTGATATACATGTAGAATAACTATACTTTCCTACCCCGTGCAAATTTAGAGAGTTCAGGAAAAAAAAATACTCTTCTGCACCAAGATGAAGTGTTTCATGAAGATACTTGCTCGAGGCAGTTTGTTGCACCTTTAGTGCAAGACCATGGCTACGCTGCAACCCAAATAAATTTCTAAACCACTTGGCTATTTTTTTATGTTATAGTGGCTGGTTTTTCTTCCAGTTCCTTCTCTTGGAACTGCTTCAGTTCTCCAAATATTAACAAATTGAGTGAACCAGAGATGTCCTGGTGTGGAAGATGGAGTTCAAGTACCCCTGCTGAGCTTTACAGAACAAGAACTTGAGTCCTGCTTACCATACCTCAGCTGCCTGTGTTAACCAGCTGACTGTTGGCTAGTTGACAGCATCTCTTTGTATTTTCTAGTGCATTCTACTTAAAGGTTACTTATCTGTTTAGTGTCTTCAGCCTAAAATACTATGGGGTTATCTACTGTAGTGAGTTTAAATCACACAAATGGATTTTGTTTGGTTGAGGTTTTTATGATGATGTTTTTTCAAACCAACTAAAGAGTCATCAGTAGAAGTTCATTTGCAGTTTTCATTTTTTGATGGGGTCTGGCAAGCTTGTAACTCTTGTGACTGGTGAAAGTTCCCTCTAGAACCCGATCCAAAGTCAGTAGGTGCACTCAGCAGCTGGGGCAAAGTTTTTGCTGATGCTGGCAGATGTCTGAATGCCTCAATTTTCTATTCCAACAGCTTCTCTAGTAACACATCTACTTCTCCGTAGGTTTGTGGTGGGTTTTTTTGAGTCTGTGACAGCTCTCTCCAATACACATGTTCACTGTTTCTTTTCTCTCAGCCTATATTCTGAGAGCATCATGTGTACAGACCAACCTCTGGCCCTGATCCCTCAGAGGCTGCATACTACCCTGAGCTGACTTCCTCCATCCAGAAACTCAGTAAAAATTGGTCCCGTAAAACTTGGCAACCAAAAGCAGCAAGTGCTCCTGGTCATAGCAACTATAGCAGATGTACACTGTGATGCAAGACCAACACAGGCTTAGGTGTCAACGCTAAAAGTGGTCAAAATCCGATACCTGTATCAAGTCATTTGCCACCATGGACTTTTGTCTCTCCTTGCTTTTGGAAGAGGTAGTGGGACCTCTGTGATGCTGAGAGTTGTTGGTCTGAAGAGAATTGCTGCCCTGAAGCTGGGTATACTGAGTGACTTCTACATGTCCTTCCAAAGCAGTGTTTGGTTTCCTTGGAGCTGTACCTGCTTACATTGTAAAGGGTGAATTTAACGGGTAGATTTTTGTTCTCATTAAAGTCATTCCATGTGAAATGAAATGCACATTCGTATAGCATACACTTACTCAAAGCTCTTGATAACTTGGTTATTCTCAACGTTGCCTGCTAGGTCATTTCATAGACCAGCTCAGAAGACTCTTACCTTCACGACTTCAACAGCCTTCCATCTATTTCATTTGATTGTAGCTTCAGTTCAGAGGAAATTGCCCATGTCAGCCTTCTGCAGGTTTTGGCAACTTCTTAAAGATAGTGTGCTCGCTTCTTCCAGTAGATTCCTTGTCCCAGCTATGTACGTCACAGTCCATTACTTCCATCAGCTTCTCAAAAATCCTGGGCCTGTTTCAAGCAGCGTGGTTTTTTCTACTAGAACATGAAAGCTTAAACACCAAGGAAATTCGATCTATATTCTAGTCTTTATTTCCAGATTCTGGTGTTTCACTAAAATTCCTTGAAAGTCTATTTCTGATTTAAACCCCCTTCCTCTTTCAAATATCAGCTTTTTAGCTCTTCTCCTTGCTGGCTTTGTGAATAAAGTCCAAAAGAAAAACATAATAAAAATAAATGTCTCTGTGGGAGTCCCTAGATAGCTGTATTTAAAGCTAGGAACATAACACTCTTGCCAAACAACTGGGGAAGAAAAATATGGTTTGAAATGGCCGTAACTTAGTAGGGCAGGAATAGATTTTTGGCATTGAGTGTGCAATTAATTAGCCTAGGGTGGGGGTTCATGGTCAGGGTAGTTCAAGCTGCTTCTGCAAGGCACCTTTCACCTTCCCTCTCCTTCTACCCTTTGTCCGGTGCCTTCCTCTGTGAGGGTGTTGAGTTGTACAGTCACAGACTGCTGGACCAGGAAGCCTGAAATTTCCTCAACAAAACAAAACTGCAGATTAGTTTTTAATGTGGCCAGTTTACTAAACCAGCTGTTGATGAGGCTGTGCAAATACTGCTGCCCGCACAAAGAAGATGGCCAAGTGGCAGAGAAGGGACGTGGAATCACCCTTGCATTGTACCATGGATTTGGGTACACTTCAGTTGATCATCCAGGTGCACCATTAGCTCTCACATGCATTTACGGTACCTCTGTAGCAAGTAATTGGTGTATAAATGGACAGTGAGCTATTTTGTGGGTTTTATTTTTTCCTAGTGACAAAACAATGAGAGTTCTTGCAAGAAGCATGGATTATCCAGCTAGGCAGGGATCCTTGCTGCCTACCATGTACCAAGAAGAGATCATGTAGTTTTTGAAAGCTGAAGCCAGACAAACTTAGACTAGCTATAACGTGCTGTGCCACTTCTCAGCAGTGCAGGCAGTTTAACAGTGAAATGACTTGCAGGGGTGCAATGGGTTCTCCCCTAGCGGGATGCTTTAAGTTCTGACATGGGACAAGATTTTTCAGGCTTCTTTAGGAACCGAAGTCCCATTTCTAAAACTGATGTAAAGGCTGCGGTTGTGCTCAAAGATTAAACTGGATGTAATGTTGAAACGTGAATTTAAACCAGCTGGATCACTGAAGAAGTTAGGAATCCAAATGAAGCATCAAAGCTTCTTGTGTTAGGAGACTTAGATCCTCAGAAGCAATCTACAAAGTTGAACAAGCTGGCCTGGATGCTGACAGCACTGGCCTGTAGGAAACATCTAGGATAGCTCCTCAAGGATGAGCATGTAGTGCTTGAAGATGATATCTACCCTCTGCTTAGGTTTCACCAAGGATGGACCTTTGTTGGCCTTTCTTCCAAAGACACAAGGAAAGAAGACTTTTTTCACACTGTGGTTAGAGCATGGGGGGACTTGAATCCACAACCTCTCAGGAAGACAAGGCAGTAGGGTATCCGAAGGTGGGTACTACTTTCTCTCTTGTTAAGGTATTTCACATCCCATGACATGTCCTACTTGCTGAAGCAGGAGCTAGGGACTGGGTCTCACTGTCCACATTCCAGATGACTGTCCCACTCCACAGCATGTTGAGGAAATGGGTGTTAGGGACATACATGTACCACCGTCTCATTCAGTGTTTGTCAAAAAGAAATGCTTAGGCTTTTAACTCC